AGAAAAAAAAATTTTTTTGTTGTTGGTTATACATGTGGATACATTAAGACTGTCATTTTGTGATACATAAAGGTCATCTTATAATATTAAATAGTCTCTACTCTTATCATCATAACAACTGCATAAATGACCTTAAATGTAATAAAAGAAGAAATTATCCTCTTTTTTTTTTAGGAATATGAAATATATGCTTAAATTTTCAATGTAAAAAAGTGTAATAAAGTTTTGAAACTTTCATATTATTACATCTTATATAATTCTAATAATTGTGAGATGTATTAAATGATCCTCTTACATAGCCTATATCATTTACATTCACTTTAAAATCATGGAAATAAAATGCAATATATTTCTCTGTTGTCAGATAGTAACTCACTGATGAAGAGAAACGTGGATGTGTCAGTCAATTTCGTGGGTTAGTTGAAGTTAGACATTAACACCGTTGGATGCCAGCTCAATGGTGTAGTGGTTAAGCGCTCGCACATAATACTGATAGGCTCTGGGTTCGAATCTCGCAGGGGGGTGAGATAGTGGATGAGCATTGCTGAGGAGTTTCACAATAGGACGAAACAGCTATCCAGTACTTCCAGGTTTTCTATGGTGGTCTAGTTTCAATTGACTCATGATCTCAACCATTGAAATTACTATAATATCCACAAAAGCCTTTCTGATATTTCTCTTTTTGTTTAAAAAAGTATGAGTGATGAATAATAGCTTGCAGTAGAATCTAGGACGTACGTTTTGTTTTATTTGTGACCAGTTAGCTAGATGTTCCTGAAAAAAAAACAGAGACTGATTAATTGTAGTCCTAAACATTGATGGGAGGATTCAAATAACCAATATAAATGAATATAAGAGACTATGGTTTAACATCGATGAAATCAATGTGTTATATGATAATTAACTTTTAATAAGTTTAAAAAGAAAGGCAGACTCAAAGATAATACAATTGACCACATAAACTTAGCTACTTTAAGAAGAGAATATCATTTTTCCTCTTAGCGAAAAAAATTTCACAGCATAGAATCTTAGTTTGAAAACAAATATTTAAATAATATGCCTGTTTACTGAATTTCACTAAAATTAGGAATGCAATATAAATATTGTTTGGTAAAATTTAACTTGATATGTTTGTTAAAAACAAAGTCAATAGTAAATGAAATAAAAGTAATTTCTGACCTTATTTTGAAAGATAAACGTATATATGTAAACGTCTATGAAGGAATACTCTTGAGTGAATGTAATATGCTAGAAAAAAATCAAGCTTGTTAGTTATGCGTTAGTTTTTTCAGTGTTTAAAGAGCCCTCAAAATCTTCTATTCTGCAACTATCTAGAGTTTATATGAGAATCATAATAGATTTAGTTGTTTTGCAAAGAAAATTCTCAATCTATTGGTAACATAATGGTTTTGCAGATCATTTATTTGAGATTTTGAGTTAGCAACTCATTTGGTTTACCTCTTACAGTCCACCTTGATGTAGTAGACTTAAATACATGATACAAAACCTTATGAAAACGTCTAACTGAAAGATAAATAAGAAAAATATAAATGAAGCCAAAAATAGAAATTGTTTTGAAAATAAACAATTTTTACAATGGGGTATTTCGTGTTTTTACTTATTTACTGACGAGAATGAAAATTCATAGAGGTACTTTTACAAATCGCAAAAACAAATTTACGGGTTTGTTGACTTAGTATCCATTGTACTGGTGTATTTGTTCTCTGTTCAGTATACCACCCATCGAAAATAAATGATGAAAATATTATTCAAATGGATGGATTGTACGCTTAACGTTTATTATATACCCATACAAATAGCCAATTGAAACTAATCTTAGCCCAAAAAACAACAACGACTGAATATTAATCACTTATCAAGATTGCCAAGTAATTAAAAGCTTCAGTTTTGAAATATCTTCAATGAAATATAAATCTTACCTTATTTATGTACTTCTAAATATCAACTTTGATGCGTCAATAACAATGGGGTCTAGCATACTGTTTACTATGTCTGGTATCCCATGTTCTGTATATATAATAACTTATTAGCTAGGGGCACAATGAAAATAAAACTAAGTGGCTTCTGACAATATTAGATGACTGAAAACCTCTGATACTTACAGTGCTGCTTAATGTTATATAACACTGTGTACAAACAGCAAGATATAATTCAAACCAGAATAAGATTATAATTAGTTATGTTCTTAGTTAAATTGCTGTCTGAGTTAGATTACGTTGTACATACTCTTTCCTTACTTTTATTTATGTTATTTATGTGGTGTATGTTTCAGTATACCATTATATCAATGTTCGATGCTTAAACATAATGATAATAACAAGAATATATAAATTCTATTATAGTAAATGACTCAAGTGATGATTCAGTCAATCAGTCAGTAACAACGTAGAACTTCGTACGTACGTACGTCAGTTCAAGTTGCAACACCACCTTAACACAGAGATGCAGTTGTCGATCCAAATCCCGTAGTGGTAGAGGTAGCAAGAGTGTAAGCAGTGAGCGGGAAGATTAGGGTTTGGAGATGTTATTTAAAGAGTATAATTCAGTGAAATAAATTTGGAAAGAGGAAAAAAGGGACATGAAGAATTCAGAAGATTAGAATTTGGGAGAACACAAAGAGTGTATGCACCTGCGCCATTGCAAACGATTTTTAGCCATGTCATTCAGGGTCTCTAACCATCGGTTGCTATCATCTCGCGGTCCCCAACCAGGTAGTCTACACCTACCAACATGACTCAGACCACTTGTCAGTGACTTCATGGATTTGTGCCATGTTTTGGTCTGGCCGCCCCTAGCTTTCTTCATTTTATTTGTTTAGATCTTTATCAAAATCTAAATTCTTAGAATGAATGAATGAAGTGATAAATAATATTGGATGACATTTAAATCAATTCAAAGATGAAATAAATCAAATATAAATTCAATTCTTATCCAATAATTCCATGTTTCCCATAGTGATCTAATTTCAATTAATTCATGATGTCAATTATTGGAAATGATTCTAATCCATAGTTGTTATACATGATAGTAATCTTAATGTAGTTATAAAATTATTTTGTTATGTATTTATAATTGAAAGGAGACGAACTTAATTGTAATCATAGACAAATTATTATATTATTATAACTAGATGATTAATTCATGAATGATCCAACGTCAAAATTGTTTTGTTTATTACATAATCATAATCCTATAATTCAAATGAATGAAACTTAACGTTTATCATTTGACTAAATGACATTTTTACATTCCGATAGGAAATAATCCCCTAACAAAACAAATGGCTCCAAAAACTGATTAATTGTAGAAAATATTTTGATTATAAAAATAATGTTTATCTTTAATATTGTAATTAACCTTTTGAAATTGAAAATTACTATGAATATAATGGAGGTTACATGTAAAAAGAATGATGATGATGATAATAATAAAGGAAAGGAGTGAAAAGTAATAGTTATGATTAATAAGGATTCTTCACGTTTGAATGGTTTTCACAGTGAACTAATGTCAATATAGAAAGTAATAAAAAAAGAAAAAAAAGAAAAGAAAAGGAGAAAAACATCATTGATTTGAAAGGAAACAATGTGAATAGTAATTCATTTTCTTATATAGTCACATAGATATGAGAAATAATGTTCATAGATTAAATTACAATCTCTATTGAATAGTTTATGGATTAGATGTTTAGATAAAATTGTAGTATCTAATCATCAGTTAGTATTTGTTTTATTTATTTATAAGATTAAGAGAAAGTTTACACATATATGGACTTAAGTACAAATCTACAATAATTCATAAAGAATCTAATGTGACCATTAGTTTATACATGATTTGAGGAAATTTAAGTATAAAGTATATCAGAGATAAATGAATAATAATACTGTATAGTTAATAACCCTATTCTACTCTAAAATACTTAGTTCATCCTCATAAGACACTGATTATAAAGGTTTATATTTCTTAATTAATGTTATACTTTAAAAATATATGAAAATACTAAGAATTTTGACATTTCCTAAATACTGAGATCTATCCTGTTCCCGCTAAATGAATATCACTTTCAATAACTTAACACAAAAAAATTTGTTCAGATATGGGGAGGGTTTTTTTAAGTTGTAAGTAGGAGAATAAAGTTGGTATGTAAATAATCAACTTTTAACCAACAAGTCGCAAATAAGAAGAAACGTTCATCTTGGATTCTAGTCGTACTTTCAGTTCAATAAATAATTTTATTCAATGAAATGTATCTTGCAATTGGCTTACCAGAAAACCTGTTAAAACTCTATTATTATTGAAATAGACTAATGAAGTAGCTTAGATAATGACAATAATTAAAAATAATTGTTGGGAACTTTTTGATTGCTTTTAATATTTGATATCCATTTTTAGTACCATAGTTATATGAATCACTGATATAGATAAATAATCAAACACTGTACTTTAAGCACCTTGACTACTACTACTACTACTACAGATCAAAGAATATAATATGTAGATGAACTCAGAAATGCAAAATATCATTTTAAACTATATTTTAAGATATATTTTTAAATATCTAAACTATTCATTATTTTATTCTTTATCATATTATTGGAATGTTGATCTTCATGTCAAAATACATGTAGTTTTAGTTTATTCTTATAGATATGGTATTATGATAAATGGCGAATATTCATTCATGTATATTAGCACAAAGGCATTTTACTGATATTAAAACTGAACTTTTAAAGTTTAACATTAAAAAAAAAACAAAAACACACATACACCACTATAAATTTATTATTTAATCCAACGAATATAATTTTGTAACATGAATGTCCATCTATACATACATTTTTTTTTTGGTTTTTGTTATCCCCCTAAACATGTTATCATCTGAATTAGATTTATGTTCATTGTTTAACCAATCGTAAAGTAACACGCTTGGTCAAATGTATTTAACGTTGAAAAATATGAACACTATTACTTATTGTGCCCAACACATAACATCACCTAATTGTATTTCATAAGTGTGCAGACAGATAATGTAGAATAATATATGTGTATATGTATTATTCGCAAAATACCATTGAAATAATAAATTGAAATCTATGCGCATATATATTTACTTTCCCCTTTTGTTCAACTAATGATCCTGTTACCTATAGAACTACACAAACACATAAATGCATACTTACACCATATCATAAACTACAGTTCAAGATGTCTGGACAACTAAACATTTATTAAAACATTTGGAAACATTATTCATATTCGGTGAAAAATGCGATAAAAATAACATATTACCCTATCATCTATTAAAGCCCATAGATTGTATAACATTTTACAAGAATGAATATCATTATGCTACCAATGTATATATAGACATATACATACACATAGGTGATAAAATTTACAGTGGCAATAGAAGTGAATGTTGTAGACAAATCAACACACATAACAACGCATTCTTATGTATACTATGAAATAAATTCTAAAATATAAATTGTGTTTCTTTGGCACAAAAATGAAAGTGATTCTTAAGTAGTATAAGAAATATATTAGAAAGAAAATAACTCATAGTATTTGATTCATTTTATTACTGCTTATCTACCTATACTTCATTTCATCTTTTTCTCTCATTCATATACATTTAAATGTGTACATAAATCCATTCAAAGAATCTCAATTGTACATTTCCTAACTAATGTGATAGGGATGTATACATACGATACATAAAAATTAACATTCCATTAACCTGGAATCGAAGTCTAATTCTTCAGTCATAAGTATATAGAAAAAGTGTCTCACTAAAGAAAACAAATATAGAAAAAAAAGATAAATAGCCAACTGCTATACAATAACAGTAGACAAAATTAGTCTACACTTATACAAAATGTAATGTATGTACATGTTTGTTTGTTTTTTCTAATGTGTGAATGTTTTGTGCATAAAATTCATTTATTTATCTAGAAAACAAAAGTATCTTCATATTACTATGATAATGTCTATCATCTTATAACAAAAATAAGAATAACAATTACACTAACTAGTCAGTATGCTTATCAAATACATATACTACTACTACTACTATTAATACTACTACTAACAACATTATTAAAAATATAATGTCAGTCATACTTATATATATAGACGTTTGATCATTTAAATGTTGACATATTGTTGACCTATATGAATTTCACAATAAAGAAACAATTTAAAATACATATTCCATTATAACTATTGTTACTAGGAGTTACGTAATCGTTGTTTTTCTTGTTTATACATACAAGATAAGATTCTACATCTTTATCAAAATATTTTAAAAAAAAATAATAAATAAATAAACAACTACACAATCTTCATTTAATCTTCATGAAATAAGTAACTAAGAAAGAAAGAAAGAAAAAAAACAGAAAAAAAGAAAAAAAAATTAAAATTGATTATGCCATTTATTACAAAGTTGAACTATTTATTAATTATAACAGATCAACTATTTCTTTTATATAAACAAAAATCCAAATTTTTTGGAATTATATTATCATTATTATTATTTCAATTAATGATTAATTTAATGAATCCAGTTCAAGGAATAAAATGGTTGTAAGTGATCCATTTTTGTATTGTATTTTATTTATTTAATTTTAATGAATTTAATTATAAATTAAAGGTGTCATTATTGTTTTAAAGAAGAATTATTTGAAGGAATCTGTTCATAGTTGATAAAATGGTTCTGTATAGAACTAGTCATTGTTTTCTTGTTGTTGATCCTGTTTTTCTTCACTGAATTCTCTTTTTCTTATACAATGTCATTATTTTATTGATTTTATTATAATCTGTATTGTTTTTATGGAATTACTGTTTAATATAACTATGATTATTATGTATATATGTGAGTTCAAATTGGTTGTTTAATACCATAGATGCTTGATTTCAAATATCTATCTGATATACATAAACTGATTATTTAAAGTTCATTTAATCTTAACTGATCAGTTAACAAATCTGAATAATTACTTACTTACATGTGTTACCCTCTTATGGAGGAGTATAGACCGCTCATTAGCATTCTCTATCCAACTCTGTCCTAGGCAATCCTTTCCAGTTGTTATTCATCCTTTTCATATCTGCTTCTATTTTTTAACGTAATATGTTCTTTGGTCTTCCTCTTTTCCGTTTCCATTCAGGATTCCAAGTTAGCGCTTGCCTTGTGATGCAATTTGATGATTGCATCAATGTGTGTCTTGTCCACTTCCAATGTCTTTTATTAATTTTCTCCTCAACTGGAACCTGGTTTGTCCTCTCCCATAATAGGCTGTTCTTGATAGTATCCGGCCAACGGATATTTAGTATCTTACGTAGATAACTGTTTATAAATATATGTAGTTCTCGAAGTTTCAGTTCCTTACAGTAGAATTGCCTTGACGTTCGTATTAAAGATTCTGACTTTGACATTGGTTGACAGTTGCCTGAGTTTCGTATGTTCTTCAAATGTAGGAATGCTGTCCTTGCTTTGCCAATTCTCGCCTTTAAAATCTCAACCATACTCGTCGAGTTATTAAGACTATTTACCTTTATTTGTCAACAAACAAAATTTTTAACCCGGGAAAAATAGTTATCAATTTTTTTTTCAAAATATTATTGTTTGTTGATAAGAAACTATTAACCATCTTATTGCAATCACTAGGAGATTTAAGTAGTCATCATAAGTTTACCTATGTCAAATTAATGCAAATAGATTTGATAACTTATAAATATAATGAATGATTTAGTCTTCAAATGATTTTATGAATTTACTATTAATGATAAAATCCTCTTTTAATTAGGTAAACTAATTTAAGTATTGATTTTTCAAGTATACGACAGCTAGACTATCGAATTTCAATTATGCATACTTCACTTTCTTAACAAACTCATGATTACTTTTGACACTAATCGAATTATCTTTTGTTTGTCATGGAAATACAATTTTGCAGGTTCTATAGCATGTCTGTTTCTCTAATGATTGAACAGGACAAAAAATTGACATAACATTTCAGAAACGATTATATATTGGTTACTTCTATTTTAAGTGCTTTATTGTCCCTGAAAAATAATGAGTGATATGATTCTGTTTTAAATAAATTTCATACATAGAATAAACCTATTTCGGTTGTTTATTAATGTTCATAGGTAATACATTTTGATGGTAGATCACTGATAACGTTTTCGGTCGATATTTCTGTTTAAAGCGTTTTCATTTGTAATAGCATACTAATGTATAACCATTTTAAAATTCATACATCAAAATTTTGTATCAGAAACTAAAGAGACTATACCAGTAGCATTATGATGTTTAATTTACTTACCCAGAAATCATCAAACTCATTATAAGTAAGGCAAACAAACTGGAAGAATAGTTTATTTGAGCAAAGACAATTATCTTGATGAATCAGTTAATCAACTGTAACCTGTAAGACTAATTTGTGTTTTTGTTTTATGGATTGCAGTCTATGAGTTTAGTAAACATAAATTAAAATGCCCAAACAAGAGTCGATACGAAGATTTGATCTTAAATGTTATGAAACACCCAATTTATTGTTCGTGGCACTTCTGCTTAGCCACTCTAGACACTTTTGACCTTCGCCATAAGTGATCCGTGTATTTTAAGCCAATTTAATTTGGTTTTCATTGAAGCTTCAGTTAAATGACGTCACAAAAATGCATTAAAAGCTCTAGCTTTTTTCAATGTGTTGCTCAATTTTGTTTCATTGCTGATCACTCAAGAGCTGTTACATAATCACACAATTATGTTTTTTCCTGCAATTCAATGACAAACAAAGAATTAGGCTTTCAAACTCTAGACATATTAACTAACACTGCAATGTGATAACTTCAACAGAATATAAATGCTAAGACGTGCTATTACGAAAATTACATCTTTATTTTATCGGTTTATTCATTTTTCTCAACACTGAAAATTCCTAGTTTCCCGTATTTTTCTTTCCACATTTTAACTACACTTGACAGAGAAACATAGGATAATAGAAGAGTTAATCTATGTGGTAGGTTCTTCATATACACAAAAAATAGAGTAATAATAATAAGCAGGTTTATTGAGTAAATTACAAGCTTCTTCAGATATGGATCACAAGGTACTGAACTAGTGGTCAATATTAAGTCTTAGTCGTAAACTTTGAAAATTAAGTGAATGTGGATTAAACATGTATGAACAATGTTTGTTTCTGTAAAATGGTAATTTTCTTGATTATGAATACTAATAAATGAAAATATTTCAAGAGGTCACGGTGGGGTCGTGGGTCAGTACTGCTGAAGAACTACATACTAGGACGAAGTAGATGTCAATTGCTTCATGGTATTCAGTGGTTGATTAATTACCACTACTCGATTATGTTAACTATGAAATTAATTAATGTTTGTTTACTGACAGCCGGGTGTATTAATATAAGTTAAATCAAAGGTTTCTAAGTATAGTTTGCTTAAGAAATATGCACATTATATGCACTAACAGTGTCAGCAGAGTTACGATAGTTAAAGAAGTTTATAAAGCTGAAAGTCTTACTACTAATTATCTGAATATCAATTTTATTATTACGTATCATTTGACATCGATTTTCCGTTTCTCGGACTTCGTCTCCATACGATATAAATCGCCGTAAATCAATCATGCAACTGTTTCTTCTAATTTTAGTGCCGCTTATTCATGTATGAAAACTATTTTATCAATACGACAACAGTTTTAAAATAATTAATACTGACCTCGCTACTTTTCTGCTCAAGGTTTAGACTTCTGTACTTCTGTACAGTTACAGTCTCTGTAGTGTATAAATTTTTGTTTCATGCTCTATTTTCACGACATTTTTTTGGTCATGTAAATGTTTAAAAAAACAATTCTGATTGGACAACATGACTAGAATCGATTTGATACTCTACACTTCAGCTATTATATTTACGTTTCACTCAATTTTAAAAAGTTATAACAGATATTATAAATATATAAATATATTTCTGTATTACAAACAGCTGAAAAAGTTAATTAAAATAAATATAGGGTTGTGGAGATTGTTGAGTTTAGATTGATATCATGAATGGATCAGCGTTGGATCAACATTGAAAACCTGGAAGCGCTGGACGGCCGTCTCGTCCTAGTATGGGACTTCTCAGCCCTGCACAACCACAATCCCGCATATGAGACTCGAACTCAGGATTTTCGGTCTAGCGCAAACGCTTAACTGAGCCGGTATCCAACGGTGTTAATGTGTAGCTTCAACCAATCCATGATACTGCTGGACTACCTACCATTGTCTTCAGTTAGTAACTACCTCACAACGGACACATACTAGGACAAAACGGTCATCCAGTGTTTCCAGGTTTTCAGTAGTGATCTAACATTGATCCATTTATGAAACCAATTTAAACTGAAGTAACTTAATTTATATTGTTCTTATTATAATAGTTTTTATCTATTTATTTATTCTCAAGATAAACAGACTCCATAAATTATTGAAATTCACCGACATATTTAAAAAGTTGAAAAATGCTGTTTATTTACTGATAGTTTGATAAGTCTATAAACATAAAAGAATAAAAAATATTACGTATTGCTTAAATCGAATAGACCACTCAGCTTGTGCTCAACTAGTTTTAATAAAATTTGATTCTAACCTTAACGGGTATTCATATTCATATTAAAATGACGTGATATATGTGATGTATATTCTTGTGTATTTTACAGTAAATTATGCATAAATCGGAAGCTAAAACCTACTGATATGATGTCGATGTCAATCTGTCTATTCAAAAAATGGCTCTTAAAACATAAGTATATTTTGTTCTGATGATCTTCCTTCTTGTTTGTCAAAATCATTTGACTAGTTGGTTCTCAGTAAACATTTCATGGTATTGTTTTAAAATTAATGAATAGTATAAGATTTATTTATAAATCTTATATAGTATTATAGATAGAAGTATTGATCAGTGACAGCGGATTCATAGTATTCTTCTAGCATCTTTAGATGGGTACATGAGAATGATAAGAATCTTAGGATAATCTGTTAATGATTTTTCTCATTCAAACGAAATAACCTTCTTTTGTCTGTAAACTGAAATTTCTTAATAATCAGTAACTATAATTGCTAGGTTTGAATCTATCACGAGTTCACTTAATCTCCAAACGAGAACAAGACTCGGTGACCAAAGACCAGTAAGCTAGCTATTGTTGCGTCCCAGCCCCACTAACGAGAGGGAGAAATCTAAGCTTGAATGAAAAGTATATTCGGCAAAACAGACAGAAATGAGCAATAACAACAAACACAATTCAAAACGTATATATACAGTGCAAAAATGTCCTTGGGAAGAGTTACCAAATAGCATACTAAAAGACGAAACGGACCAATAGCATTTAAGATATTTTCCAGTGGAAAATATGACATGAAGGTGACAAGAGTGCCTTTGGTGTGAAAACAAAGAAATTCAAATTTTCTAAATAAAATTGCAAAATTAGGTCTTTTTCCAATTGAGTTCTGGGGATCTAACGTCCCCAACAATGATATGCCACATTCAACTTCCATAATATTTCTTTTCTCTGCATCATTTTCATGATG